ACTGGATCGACCAGGATGGTCAACTTAAGGCAACGCCACCAACTGGCTCAGTCGGGCTAACGTGTCCTACTTGGCTAAAGTGATTGGTTGACCGGGTCGGGACAATTAGTTAGACCAAATTGATCGGTAGACCAAGCCGGAGTGGCCGGTCGAACCAAAGTAATCGATCGATCGAGCTGGGGTGGTCAGTCGGACCAAAGTACAAGGCTTACTGCGTCGCGGGGAGGAGGGAGGGTCGAGCCAAGTGTGTTGCAACATGCAAAATTCAGGATGTAATACAATGCCAACATAATTCAAGTGATCACGATTGAAAGTGGGTCATACTCGTGCTAACATCCTCGCTTAGCTGCCTAAGGTTTAGCACATGGACCAACTTGCATAACTTAGGCGATCAAAAACCTACGTCGAAATCACAAAGTTGGTCAATCAAACGGCGTATGGCTGTGCTGACTATTGTTGGTTGGCTAACTTGCCTCGTGTGGGCGACCAAACCCACAACACCTAGAAAAATCTACTTCTATGGTCGGCTAAGAAAGAAAATGCAAAGGGTTTGAGGAGTTTCACATACATAACAATTGTTTCTTCTCATGGGAGAAAGTTCTCCGAACGGTAGGAAAGAAGATGAAAATCAGGCGAGATTCCGAGCTTTGGTGAAGTTCCAGCGAGGCCTGTTGCACTCCTTCAAAGAACAAAGAAGCTCTCCTTTAGAAGGAGAGTTCGATAAGATTACAACGAAGTTCCAAGCTCCAGTGAAGCTCTGATGACCCTTCCCCAGCTAAGATAGAGCTCTCCTTTAGCGTTGGAGAGAAGAAACCTTGCTCCATTCTCTTCCTCACACACTCAAATGAAGTGATGGAAGAAGAGGAAGAAATGGAAGAAGAGGAAGAACTTGGAAGATAATCAAATCCCTTGAGCTTCTCTTTGGAGAAGATAAAGAGTTTTCCTCTTTTTCCTTGCTCCAAGCTCTAAGCTCCAAGAATACCCTATACACGTTTTTATTAGCGTCGTGGGGTGAAGCTCGCACACGACGATCAAGACACGATAGAAGATTCTAAATTAAAGTAACCATAAGAATCTTTCTTGATGATGGAGAAATATGTTACAGGTGCCTAAGATTGCATGAGTGACATTTGTACATGTCTTTCTTAGCGTGGTGGGAGATCCTGTTGTATTTTTTGAAAACTAGTACACGTATTCCTTTAAGTGGCGGGATGCGCCTCTTTACGGTTGTGGCACAAGCCACTCATACATGCATTTCTTGGCATGGAGGGTAGACCTGACCTCCTGCTGCAACCCCCCAAAGGGGGACGGCACTGGGAAGCTACCGAAATGCTGTCGAATTTTGTTCGAATTGTCGATCATAAAAGAAAAATTAAATTGAATTCACTTGGACCAAAATACTTGAAAGCTCTTACGCTATATATTAAAGATAAATGATTACATAAATCATCTTGAACGACATAAGTATAAATAGAAGTTACACGACTCACATGGGACTCGACGACTCGTTAATGAAGTCGAATGAAACTTGTGAGGGCTCCATGTGAACACTCAAATGGAAGATAAGTATGTAAGAGATACATAATTCCAAATATAAAATCAAAGTCTGTAGCATCTTCCTCATCATTGGATCCGTAACCCCAAACACACAAGCGAAGAGAAGGTGATGCTAAAAGCTTGAAGAAAAAATATTTGCACTCATTTTAATGATAATATGCACATGCAAATAACCTTAAAAATCCCATAAAAATAGTCAAAATTGACAAATATGAAATTCCCGCATGTGCTCCAACCAACGTGTTGAACGTTCGATCATAAGTTCCGAGAATGCTGCGCGGGTTAAACAAATGCTTAGGTTCAAACTAATCTATCCTAAAATACATGCAAAACTATTTAAAGATCTCAACCCAACGAATATGCAATGCCCGCATTTGCTCCGACCCACCTTTAAATATTCAAGCTTATGCATCTTAGAATGTTGCGCGGGCAAAGGGTTGCTTTGCTTATAGGGCGAGGTCGTAAGTCCCACAGTTTGGCCAATCCAATCCTCCTCCCTACAAGGATTGGAGTTGATAAGATTGAGCCCCCACTTTGTTCAATCTCATCCTCCTTCCCATGGAGAATGAAGTTGATAGGATTGAGCCCCGACTGAGCCAGTTTGATCCTCCTCCTTATAAGGATTGGAGTTGACAAGACTGATGATTTTAATGGCATAAATTATAGTATTCCTCGATGATGGCTAAGTTGATCGTGGACAACAGAAGGGGTCTATTTTCAATATTAAACTCCAAAAATAAATATACATTTGAATAAATTCAATTAATATAAATTATAAACCTGATCCTCTGTGAGCGGGATAGAGTCAATAGAGTTCAAAAAAGTCAATTCCTGATGATAGTTGTGCTGATAGTGAATCTCAACTGAATGAGTCTATTTTAAAAATGTCTCAAAATCTATTTTGAATTCAATTATTTCAATTGCTAATCTCGATCCCCTATAAGCGGGACATAGTTGATAGAATTTAAAGGAAAACAATTCTCGGCTGATGGTCATGTTGATAATAAATCTCAACCAGAGGGATCTATTTTCAAAATTAAATCTTAAAGTTTATTTCTAAAACTCAAATAATATATATATATA